GGTGCTGCTTGCATGTGACAAGACTGGCGGCAGAAGCGAGCGATGACGAATGCAAAAACGTCGGGATGCTTGTCGGATAGTTGTCGTAGTTCGTGTCCTCGTTAACGCCGGAGATAAGCTGACACACTGTTTCTGCTGGACGAGCAGCGAATCGAGCGAAAAGCCAGACGGCTGTACGAACAAATGAGTGAATGAATGTGATTAGAATATCAATAGAATGCAACGGGTCGTCATTCTACGCGCTGTCACATAACCCACATGCGAGCAGACGGTAGCCATGACGGATGATTTCGCCAACGACCCCTTGGCCGCAAGCACATATGATTCCGATCGATTCATCTCATTATCCATCACTGAGCTCTCATCGCGCATAACGACCTCGTGCGATCGTCGAGAGTCCCCCGGGGACCGGCAGGGATCCACGGAACGTATAACAGAGGATAGCGGAGTCTACCGTCGCCGTTAGCTCGGAATCGAGGCTCACGAGGCGGTACGTCGCTCCTCGAGATCCTTATGCATGAGGGTTCATATCGTTGAGGAATGGGAGACGGACACGTCGCCGGAGACGTTACTTGCGGAGGAATGAGAAGAAGTAAAAGTCACCAGCCGAAGGCAACAGCGGCCGTACCGACAGCAGAAGCAACGAAGTGATCCGCGCTGCCGCTACTCTGTTTATCTGCCGCTTGTATCTCGTTGTGTTTACAGCGACGGAGAGGTTGAATATCTTCTTTTTCTAACGCCGTCGTGGTCTTCTTCTTCGTTGTTGTTGTTGTTGTACTGTCATGCTGATACTTCGGACAGACGACGACGACGAGGAGCAAGCCAGCCACCGAAATCTAGCAAGCATTTCAACGAGCAGCAATGGGCCAGTCTGGCAGCGACACCAAGCCAGCCAGCCAGCAACCAGCTGACAGTTTAATGTCTACCAATAAAAGAGACCAGACGGAAAAAACTCGCACATCCAGTCAGCGAGCGGCCTTTTGGGACAAACATAGAGATAGACAGCGAAAGGAAAAACACTGGCGGAACCCATCAAAAGATTTCAACACGGCACAAATTTCACTGTAAAGCGACGAAAATCTCAAGTCGTTAGAATCGCTCGAATTCCAAGTTCCCGCATCGATCGCGACTGCATGCCACAGGCGACGCCGCGCCGCCTCCAACTCGGCAAGCTGAAAATTCCGGCGGGTCTTCGGAACACATAGGTCTGAAGATTTTCCGGCCTCCGACCCATCAAATAAGTTTCCGCTCCTTCTTCTCCTGGTCCGCATCGGGGAATAGGGTTAGCTCGCTTCGATCCCGCGACGATCAGCGCGTCTCAATCGCTCGCAGAACCAACGAACGCGTTCAATGTTGATTCCCTATGATGAAAAACGAAAATCATCCACCAGGCGACGAAGACGACTAAGAGAAGGCTAATAAGAGTCATTTGCGGACGCCGCGCATCGGAACGATCAAAGAGACCGCCGGGGAACGGATGAGGAAAAGCAACAAGTTTTCGCAGTGGCGGTGATGGCGCGCTTCATGAAGGCATGTGCGCTCGCCAGGACCATTTCGTCGTCGTTGTCGATGCTCTTTTGGCCAGAAACACTCGCAGTTAGTCTATCACTCAGTCAGTTAGTCAACTCATGCAGTCGTTCAGGGAGAGCTAACAACATAATCAATGCAACGCGATCACACCGAATTATGATGCGTTTGAAGGTTCTACGGCACGTCAGCGAGGCTGAGAGGTCGGCTGCGCGAAGAGATTGATGGAAAGATAAATCGGCGAGCAAATCAATCGATGAACTGATCGACGTTCTTTCGGTGGCCGTTGTCGTCTCCGATGTCGAATCGAACACCGAAACCGAGACGATAACGATAACGGAGCCGACGATCAAATCGGGGAGCCGATTCGTTGCGAGACCCGTGGAATGAAATGAAAATCGGTGAACGGGTTGTTCTGCTGCGGTCGAGTACTGCCGATGCCGATAGAGGCCTGCTTGATGAAACCTCAATGTCGAGTAAGCTAGTCAACACATCCAGACGGACAATAATAATAATTACGACAGAAATACCGCGCGAAGGATAGCCCGACCGAGAGGGATCCGAACAGAATTTCTCTCGAACAGAATTCGCTTTTATCAGTCGTTCGCCGTCTATCTTTTCTATCTATCTATCCATCTATCTGCAGACAGGCAGGCCGACTGGCTCTCGAAGCTGCCTTGGTCAGCCTTTTCGGCAGCAGCCATTTAGCACCTAAACCAGTTTAAATTTATAGCCATTTCGCTGCTTCGGCTGCTGCTTGAAGATGTGCGGCGGCGGCGGTGGTGGTGGTAGTGGCGGCGGCAACTGTTGTAGTGGTGGCAACGGCGAGCGGCTCTTTTGAAAAAGAAACCGACAAACGTTGCCTCTGATGATCAGACCTTACGGCTTTGTTGGCTCGCTTGTACCTTCGATGCCTACCTGCTTGACTGACTGTCTGCATTCCCAGCGAGCGAGCGAGCGAGCTAGTAGATGCCACGTCGTCCGACTAGAACGACTCCCCTGTAGTGGATTCCGTTGTCTGTGATGCGTCGCTCGTCCACAGTGGCGGCGGTCATAGTGAGCGTGGAAGGGAACTGATTCGAAATACCGCCTGTGGCCGCTATCTGTGAATCGGAGTATCGGGTAGTGTTGTCGGTAACGGGCGCGGCAAGGTATCTGGGCGTGGGCGGAATTCCTCTCTCAATGGTGGTGGTACCGGTGGAGCGGCGGCACCAGCAGCAGCACCCATTTGCCGAATTCGTAGCGCGAAGGCTCCGATGGCATCGTGTTCGGAACGCGGCCGTATGGACGTACCGTTCATACGGAAACGAGGCGCAGGGAATAATTCTGTGCAGAGAAGAATTCACTCGTCGGGCACGATCTGACTTCTTCCGACTTGCAAGTTGTGCCATTCGGAATCCCGAATCTGGTCGGGTCACCTACTCATGGACTCGCTGGAGATATGACGTCTCGTCGGAAGCGGGAGCTGTCACAGAAGTCGAGTTTTTACGGCGGCTAGGCTGGATAAATGTAAAGTCTTCCGATAGACCCTCCACAGTCTGATCGTGTCCCTCAGAAGATCGAATATCTCCGACTGGTTGGTGGTGATTAGCACCAATTATCGACGACATCACAGCCAGCGACAATCGTGTAGCGGTCCGGGTACAGAAAAAATAGAAGGCGCGAACATCAATCGATTGAAATTTATGTCGATGTCGGAGCTGGTTGTAGTCAACGCGTCGCGGATCGTCGCCGCAACGGCTACCGTACGCATTATCTTGAGCTGTCATCATCTCTGTATCTCTTCTGGCAGTTCAGCTTCTACAGCGGCGGCGACGGCGGCAACTACGACTGCTTTTTCTCGCCTCTACATCTTTCGCATGTTTCATCGGTGACAAAAGTGTTACTCGTAGACGACTGTGGCGGCACTTCGTTTGACTCCGAAGAAGTGCTTCTACTTAGTTCGAAGGGCCGAAAATGCAGCGGTGGCCGCAATCATTCGCTGCTAAAACTATTGACGAAATTGCTCAACTAAAATGTATCGCCAAGCGGTCTTTTAGTTGGCCCGTCCGTCTAGCGCTCGATCGTTCGGCGCTCTTGCCCTGGCCGGTCGACGGCGGTGGCGGCGGCGGTTGTTCCTCCGAATCAAATCAATTCTCATTATTTCGAGCTGTAAGAATTTCCTCTCGCAGACACGGATTTTCTCCTGTTGGCCGCATTTGAAGCGTGTGATTGTATGCTCCGCTTAAATGGATCTTATTCCTTTTCGTTTTCGAATATCGGGCTCCGCTCTCCTGAAGCCCACTCCGAGTCGGACTTTCGGAATCCGAGCCGTGAATTCCGTCATTCTTTATCTGTCGCGACCGGATTCGAAGATTCACCGGAAGACTTCGGAGCTCCCCTGTGTTGAGAGTCGAATCGAATTGAGGTACTTTCGAGTTCTCATCGAAACAGTGACACCCGATCCTCCGCCCTCAGTCGGGTGCATGACTCGCCGGAAGACGAAACAGAGTCAAAGGTGTTCCAAATGAACCTCTCATTCGTAATCTGGCGATGAACACACATCGAATACGGCGGAACGATCACTGGCGAACAGCAATGATCCTCCGAGCAAACGGTGCTACGGCAGACTCACGAACGACGCCTTCATTGATTCCATTGCCGCTTTGACGTGCGCTGGTCATCATCAGACATTCCTCTCGTTGTAGAAAGCAACGTATTTTCAGTGAGTCTGTCTGACGCTCTGGCTCTTGCGGTGGATCGCTGGTCGCCGTCGATCGGTTGATGAGTCGCCATCACTTGGACCTCTTTTCGCATTTTCCTCTTGATCATGCCTCCCTTCAACGCTCAATCGCTGCTCATTATTATCTCTACCTCACAATTGCGATCCGTGTCGCAGGCCTCGGTGCTTGTGCGTGACGCGAGCGACGTCATCCCTTGAACATCTGCGAATCTCGGGTATGATCTCAGCGGGAAGCTTTCCAGGGTTCGAACTCCAGTAGGTCGTTGAAAGCTCCCGGGTGTCGCACGGAACGACGGGGAAACCGGGAAGCACAGTCCGAGAAGAACGTGCATCCGTTCTGTTGTCGCCGTTGCTTGGTGCCATTATTCCATAGCTAGCTTATTACCCGACACTCGATGTCAGCCGCGGCGGCAACCTCAACTAATCTCGCTTAATGGAGACCCCCTGCTGTCGACTGTGATGCCACCTCCCGCTGCTCTCCTGCTCAACTAAATATGAACTAAAGAGAGGAACAGAAGCCCGACGATGACTACTACCACTACTAGCACCACTACTCCGCCGTCACGGCCGCTGCGCGTTCAACAGTACTTCTTCTGATAGCTCTACTACTGTTGCGGCTAACGTCACGACACCGATATCCGCGATCTGCTCGATCAGAACGAACAAATGAATAAACAGATGGATGAACGCGCTAGCGTTCGCTCGTCAATCCGGAATGTCTACTAGCTACGTCCGAAATAACGAAACTCACCTTCCGGTTTTGGTGATAATCATTTCAGTTCCGAGCTCGTTGAAGCGTTCCCAGAGATCTCTGTTTTCGAGATGGCATTCAACTTTTTCAAGCGCGGCTGAATTGCAGAGACCCCTCAGCAGAGGGGCGTAAGGGTTTGGTCCTGACGGGGTCTTTTCCTCGTCGTTTGCCGAAGTGACCTCCTCGCGTTGTCTTTTCTTCGGAGGTGCGGGCGACGAACACGACGGGAGGGACGGCTGGGGCGAAGAGCTCGGCGAGGGCGACTCTGCAATAGGGAAACATTTTTAGAGTGAGTTTTCGATCCGAATTCTGTGGCAGAACTTCAACTTTTAAGTGCGCTACATCGTGGAAGTCTTTTCCGTGGGGAATTAAGGTTTTATTTTTGTCAAATTATCGTCAAATTATTTTGGGGCGAAATCCATGGAAGTCTATGCGACCCCCCGAAGCTCCTATATCCGGACTCCTTGGTGAATGAACGGAGCCTTCGTCATTCGATCGATACATGACGCCGAGGCGGTCGGTCACCGCTGGAAGGACCAAAACGATTCTCGCTTGTTTCCTCTGCGAATCGGATGGACAGCGCTTCGTGATGTGACAGCATCTATCAATTCGAGTCGTCATTGGATCACGTCTGTGGCAGAAGCAGCAGCAGCTTATACCATTATGCTCAGGAGGTCCAATTGGTTCTATTGGCCACACTTTGACGCTCGACAGCACGATTTAGAGCCGTGGATCTCGTTCCCACGAGTTGGATTGAACAACGGTGACCACGACGAGGATGGCCTACCCACCGTCGTGCGACTGGATCGGTGATTTTCTCGACAATGAATCGCCAAACGCCAAAAGGAAGGATAAATGCAGAATGCCCATCTTGAAAATAGGCGAGCTCGGGATATCATTTTCCCTACCGCTGAGGGGATCGAAATAGAAATCTTCCCCTCAAAACTGTATCAAGCTCTTGGCAGAACATTCTGCTCCCGTCAGAAGGGCGATGCATGTGGCGAGAAGCATTTCGAGGGTTGCTTCATTCGATGCATCCACAATATTTTTCACTTGGCGTTGACAGCTACTAACGGTCTTTCCAGGACCTGAATCATTCGGAAAATATCTCTCGTTCCTGCGTCCGCTCCCCCCTTTTCTCAGGCAGGCCCGCGGACTGACGGTCGGACAGACGAGCCAGCCAGCCGAGCGGCAGTCAGTCATTTAGTCAGTCAGTCAGTAGTTGTTCCTCTTGTTGTTCCCTACCTTAGGACGGGACCACCCGGGCGAGTGAGGCTTCTAAATCTTCCAGAAAAGGTTTCCTTCCTAAGAAGAACTTGTCTCTAGCGAACACGTTAGCTGTTGCTGATGGTACCGCTGCCGGTGCTGCGCCCGAACTCAATCCGAGCGTGGAGTTCCGACAATGCGTCGACGCGCTTTTTCAGGTCGACGCGCTTTTTCAGGTCGACGCATGTTCTCAGAGGAATGTCCGGCTCGAATGGTCTGGAGGACGCCGGAGTTCTCGTGGATTTCCTCTTTACCCCATCAGAATGATGATCCCCAAGCGTAGATCGGATTCGGGAGATGCTTTGGCTGATTGCATGATGATGATCCGACAATCGAGACGCTCTACGGGACCAGAACGACGTGAAGGTGACAACGAGGTAGGGAAGTGAGGGGAACCCCGTGGCTGAACACAGGGCGCATGGATCTTCTCGAGAGAGTGTGCCGCTTTTAGTTGAGCGAGGCTCCGAGATTGTCGAGATGTCAGCGCTTGGACGAGAAAAAGAATGAACGATCGAAAGAAGCGCACGGGAAACAACGGAAAGTGGAAGCCACCCAGGAAGCCATGAGACGATGCGGTGCTGACGCTCATGGTGAATGGTGCTGGTGTTCGAGGAAAGAGCTAAAAAGCCAGCCGCGACAAAACTCCACTCCTTCTGTCCTCGGAAGGAAGTGCCAGTCCGACAATCCCGGTCGATCACGGGGATCCGTTGTCCTCGGTTCACCCACCAATGCAATCATTACTGAACACTAAAGCCTGGAGTGCTTGCTACCGACCGATCATAAAAGTATCGTTTAAAAACCAATAAAGAACCTTTCGAACAAGGCTGCTGCTAATAATTCTATCGGTCTCCCTCAGGGTCCGCGAATAGCTGGGAACGGCATCTCTAGGCATTTTGTTTATTCGGATCATAATCGGGACTCGGAGGACGGCCATCCTCGGGATCGGTGAGATGCGAATAAGACGAAACATAATAAACACTGCGAGGCGAACGAATCGGCGGTAATCGAGCGTCCAGGAGATTTCTCAGCCTTTATTGAGGAGGACCTCGTTCCGGTAGCGGTCGAGCTCAGACAGACCGCTGGGAGTTATCATCGAACAACTCGCACCGAATCATCACCGGAGACTCGCAATCATCGATCCGACGAGCGAGTCGAGCCAAGAAGCAAACCAAGCAAGCAAGCGAGCAAGCAGCAAACCAGGCAGGCAAGCAGCGGACAGGCGTATAGCTAGCCGTCAGAAGTGCGCCATCATCAGAAAACGGTTCGACAGTGATCTGAAGTCTCGGGTGGTCCCCGTATGCTCGCAGTCGGCTGTTGGCCGTGTGCCGTGCAAGGCGGGTCTTTTTTTCTCCCGCCATCATGGCTGCTCGCCGGTTCTACTTTGTCTTCTCCATCTTCGTCGTCGTCGCCGCCGCCGCCGTCGTCGACGCTTTCCGTACGTATTATTCTCCGTCTTAGCTGCCACGGCTGCGCTGAACGAAATCGTCTTCGGCCTACGGTCACTTTTGGAGTCTCTTTCGCTGCAGCCGGACAATAATAATTCGATTTGGATCATAAAGATCGCCTGCTCCGCAGGGACGGGCGGACGCATAACATCCAGCTTGACCGAAGGCGATTTCATGAAGAAACAATGTCCGACGTCGAAACAACTGCCGATGAATTATGGCGGTATCAAGAATTCCCTAACGTCGCGGGCCAGCGTCGAGCAGAACAAGCTCAGCTGACAGACGTTATTATAAATAAGTACACCGCCGCCGTGGCAGCTGCTGGTGCAAAACCAGCATAACTATATCCGAATGTCTGTTGAGCGTCGGCCACGTGCGATTCCACCGCCAAAGCCAGCGCCGCCGACAATCGGGTGAGTTACGCCGTTCTCGGCGCATAGTATTCTCACAGGTATGGAATGATGCCTACTCTCAGCAAGCGATTTCAATGAAGAAAACCGCTCACTTTAACAACAACAACTACAAGTGATTTATTGAGTCGTTCCAAGGGGTTTGTCATGCTCTCTCGGAGTAGACGACGCCGTATCTTCGCCACGCGACCGGTGCCGGAGCGATACTCTTCCCCCTCCCTCCGGATTCCGGCCCTCGGTCGCATTAGAACGAACGCTCCACAATTCGGACCCCCACGAGAACCTCAAGGGTCGATGACAAGGAACGGAAGAGAATGGAGATGATCTACTAGAACGACGTCACCGCCATCATCAGAGCCTTAGTCGTCACAGTCACACACTCTCCGGCGGAGGCAGTCAGGATTTCTGTAAACTGGTGCCCGCATAGACTCGGCGTGGGTGGCCTCGGAGTGGTCGTTGTCGTCGACGACGATGACGACGACGACGAGAGTCGTCTCTTCCCTCGGCAACTAATCAGAGTGGAAATATTATCTGGAGACGGCGACTCCGCCGCCGCCAACTGCGGAGAGCGAACTAGAGAGCCTTCTTTTTCTTCGGCAGCAGTCAGTCAGTCAGTATTTTGCTGCTGCTGATGATGGGAAGATGTTTCTCTTAGTTTGTTCCCTCTCTTCGAGAATATTGAGACCACCCAAGCTAGCGCGGACGAGCGACCTGCCGGTCGGCCGCTCGCTCACTCGCTCGGCCTGTCGTTGAGTTCTCCTCCTTTTCCAGACGCAGACAGTCAGCCGAGTCGAGAGTCAGTGAGCTATCCAGAGGAACGACCCTGCACTCTGGTGCCTTTCCAGCGCACCAGCGGCATTTCTCTGTCGGGACATGTGCACATGAACGATGCGCCGAACTGGAACGCCGGAAGACAGTTCTCGGCTCGGTCCACCCTTCGCTCGCAGGTCGGTCGGTCGGTCGGCCGCCGGGTCTTCGAGACGATTCCACGACCACGTTGAACGAAGGAGACTCGGAACTTGGAAGCGAGACTACGAGTTATCGGTTTATGAGGTCGAATGTTATCGGAAGGAGTTTTCGGATCGGCCCGACCGTGTGAAGGATCTTCGCTCCGCTGCAACATAAGTGAGAGGCACAGGGACAGATTGCGCGAGCTCCTCAAGTGGATCTCGAGTGAGGAAATCGATTCGTCAGTCGACCTAAGAGAGCAGCCGTCACCGCTGCCGCCACCCGAGCTAGTTATGAAGAGAGATGGGATTCTTATGCAAGCGAGCGTGCGTGCGTGCAGGCCTGCCAACAGGCAGACGGGCAAGCACGGCTTCCTCTCCCATCTGCTCGATGTCTTTCTCTCTCGGCTCACTCGATTTTTTCTTCTCTCACTTATTCCTCTCGCTCTTGCGGCTCGAGCAGCGGCTGCGGTGCCGGCGGCCGCCGACTGACAAGCTGTTTTATTATAGCAGGCTGAGTAGCTGGTAGACTGCTAGCTTGGCAGAACGAACCCGCCGCCTGTATCGGATTTCTGACCAGTTTTTCACTCAGTCAGTCAGAGCTGAGAAGTCACTCCCACCCTAATCAGAGCGGGGAATCTGATCCCTGCAACGGTCTCTCACTTCAACCGAGCGAGGGCTCTCATTGACTTCAGCAGTGCAAACTGAATAGAAAGCGACGAGAGGGATCGCGACAGGAATAGAGAGCGAGTATGTGTTTGAAGTTATGGAGATCGCGCCATAAAAACTCATCAGATAAGAGCCGATTGTCGACCGTCGTCGAATAGCAAGCGAACGAGCGGAGCTCGAGGACTCGCTCGATGGCGGGCTCGCACAGCCACTCAAATCAAGCAACAATACTGCTGTTTGACTAGACTCGAAAATTATCAACAATATCTCGCCTCTCTCACAGAAGGCGTGCAAAGACCTCGCGACTCAACGCTGGGCTCTCGAGTACTCAGCGAGTCACGGAAATGAACGATCCGCAGACTCGCGGAGAAAGGAAGGGACTCGGAACGCACGAGAACGATTCCAAGAGCTCGGAGCAGGGAAGATGCAGCTCGCGGAAAAGGGGCGAAGTCGCCGTAATTCTTGCAACGCATATTAAGTTTAATAAAAATGGGCGAAAACAAAAGCTAATAAGTTGGTGAGAAGAAACGCATATCTTTCTGATTCTACCAAGCGGAAACTCTCGCGAAGAACCATCGGCCTCCCCCGTGGGTCCGACAGACGCCTCGAGCCAAACCGAGTTGGCGATGTTATGAAGCGCGTGTTCCACGAAATTCCGTATACTACTACCGACTGAATTTGCTCATTCGTCCGTTCAAAACAACGGAGTAACACCTGAACATGCGGTGTTTCATCGTGGGATTTACTGCTAGAACATTCGTCTTGCATCCTATCGTTGTTGTTGTTGCTGCTGACGACGACGACGACGCTCACAACAGCAACGACGTCAACTCCATTAAAGGATTAAGCCGCGATTCTCAACTTCATCCATCCGACTATCTACCCGTCGGCGAAAAGACCCGTCCTGGTGCGACGACGAGCACCCGGCCCGGCGGCGGTAGCCGTATTGTCGGGATATTTTTCACTTTAGTGGATCTTTCTTCCCGTGGCAGCTCTCGGTGACGGTGCGTTACGGCCGATCCGTCGAGCAGCAGACTCCCCGGCATTAGCATTTTGATGAGACCAGCCCATGACTAGTTCCTCTGGCTGGTGGCTGGCTGGCTGGCTGGTTGGTCGTTCGTTCGCGAGCCTGGTTGCAGCCGACGCACCGCCGAGGACCGCGGAAACGAAAATGAGATGGAGAACCCTTCCAGTAGGTCCATCACTCCTAAATCGTTTCATCTTCTGCCATTCTCTTCGACGTTTCTCACGCTTCCAGCGTACATTCAGCCCTGACCGTTGAGGTCTATTATTTGAACCTTTTGATTCAAACCGAGGTCGCCGAATACCGTGTCAATAGACTTTTCGAAGTTAGGGAGGGGCAATTCACGAACGGCTAGACCCTACGCGGCCGCCTTCCCGTCCTCTGTCTCCTCTTCATTATCTAGGTACTCTTTCTTCATTGTCAATCCTGATTGCATATGGGTCCGCCCGACATGAATCGCATGCTTCGTCCTCCACGTTCTGAGAGTCAAGAAGAGATCCGTAGTAGCCTTGGATGAGCGCTGTTCGGTCGGAACACTCAACGTACAAAAGGAGGTGCCAAGACGGCTGAACGAGCGGCAGCGAAAACCAATCGACGACGGAGCGGCGCTCTTTTTCCTCAACGAAAATAGCTTCAAATCGTGGTCGGTCAGACAGCTATCTCTTACGCTTTCGTGCTTCGAGACTCGCTCGCGCGCCTGTTCCCCAAGTTGTTAGTCGCAGGTCGCAGACATTCATAATGCTGTTCCACGACCGGGGCGTTGGCGAATCCCTGTCATCCGTGCGAGCGCTCCATAAACGGAATTTATGAAGACACTTAAAGAGCTCCAAACACTGTCCCTTTGATCCAAGAAGGTTTCTGACGAACACCCCGGAACAGAGAGAGGGAACATTGTTGCTGCGACAACAGTAGCGAACTGAGCATAACACAGAGCTTCATCCCGGTCGGTGAGGGGGGGGGAGGAACTGAGTCGAGTTTATTGTATGGGTCTCATTCCATACACTTATTTGGTAGGTACTTGGAATGGACGTGGTGAGTAGGAGCTCTGCCTCCTCGGTTTGCCGGACTCGGAATCGATGACTATTAATCGCTGTTGCATAACTTGGCGATCGCATTGAATCGATTTGGCGCAATACAAAAATCGGGCGACGAGTCGGCCAACGAAAACATATTCGCCAGAGACAAGACAAGATCGGTCCTATCGCCATTTTAGTGAATGTCTATCATTCTGCTTAAAATTCCGCCCTTGATCGCAAGGCTAAGTATCCTGGTTGGACACTTCCGATTTTTCCGACAGCGACTTCACTTCCATCACGCAATTTGCTATGGAGGAACGGTGCTTCGAGGTTGGTGGAGCAGCTCCCGGGCAAGTTACCTCGCGGAGCTCGGTATCGAACACTGCGTTTCGCCCCGCTACCGCTCCCGAAGTTGACCCAGGGAAACCGAGGTTCGCGGACTCTTCCTTGTCCACATATCATCAGACTTTCAAGATACACGACGCGGAATGCCTAGGTGCGGTCTAGCCCGGAGAATGCTGCAGAACGGTTTCACGGCTGTTAGCACATTTATCTCGATGATTCGAGAGTCTACGCGTCTACGCCCAGCATCGCGATTAAACTCGTCTCCTTATGTCAGCAGACCTCAGAAATCGTTCACGCTGGAGGACCGTTTGTTGCTTGCATGGCCGCTTGCCTGACAGACAGCCGAACATTCGGCCTGGCAGGTCAGCAGGGCTCAGCAGTCATTGGTCATCGCGATCTTGCTCGTTCTCTTATCGACTAGCACGCTGAGGACCTTAATGTTCCAAGCATCATCTCGAGATGCTATCGCGACCGGCTTTAATATCTCTGGTACGCGGACCAGGCCGACCAGCGAGCAGGCGAACGAGCCGAGAGCCGAATAAGTCGGGCTGCTAAGAGCGCAGAGGCAGGGACAAGATCTTGACGCCGATACTTCATTTGTCTCCTCTCGGCTAGAGATATACTTTCGCAACCGATGCTGCCACCGTTGTCAAAGGTGAGACTCGGTTGCATACGATGAGGGAAACTGTAGGGGAGAACACTCTGGACTACTCATTAATAACACGGGCGGAACGAGGCGTCTCAACGTGTCGTTGGCCGAGTGATTTTATCCACTGGTAGGTATGATTTCGTTGCATAGCTGGTACTTGTGACTTGTGACGTTGTGAGACCGTCAGATGTGAGAACAATAATTCACAAATTACAGAAGGGGCAGAGGGGAGTCGATAATCCGAATCGAACGACTCGTTGATTCCAAGTAGCTAGATTTCCGTTCGATCAGGACCCGGGCTCAGGAATAGATAACTACAAGGGAAGATAATAGGGAGGAAATCTTCCGTCTACCCTCCGGAGTGGGAACGGTTCTTTCCCCAACAGGAGTTCCAAGAAAGTGTCTACCTACGATGTGGACGGTGGACCCTGCGGCGCTCTTGATTTCGAGCTCAGATTTCCAGAAGCACTCACCATTGTTGGAAACAGGCGATTCTGACCGTGCCATGATGGCAGCGATGCTGAAATCCGTCGCCCGCGGACTCGAGGTCTGCCTGAGGACGGGGCTCTTGACTCCCTCCATCTCAACCACCATTTGGCTGGTTGCTGGAATCGGGTCCGAATACACGAAACAAGAATCTCCCCACGAACTCTACACTTGAGCCACTCAGGGCGGTCCTGGCCGGGCTTGTTGAATCTTTGGAAGTTCAAAATCAATGTTCGCACGATGGTATTCTGCTTTGCTACCCACGAGATAGGACGTTGGGATTATCAACACTCGACACTGATGATCCAGTCGATATTTCCAGCCTTAGTGGTTGCGGGCTGTTCGATTTGGTGATATTGCGGAGAAATGGACGAATTTCGAGGAAAACAAAAACTTGCACGTTGATGAGGCACTATTGTAGGCAATGCTGGAGGACGCCGCTCTTTCACCTGTAGGTGGGTACTTCTCGAGAACTACTTTGAACTCGGACTCGAGTTTCGTGATCGTTTTCGCCCGCTAGCCACGGAAACTTCCAGTGGCGTTGTTCACTGCGTGCTGTCGTTGGTCAAAGAAACCAATGCTTGCTGAGATCGAGTGGTAGCGAGACGAACAAGCCAAGTAAAACGACGAAAGCAACAAACCGTCGAGCTGCTGCTGCGGCTGCGGCTGTGGCGAGGTCCCAGATGGGGACATCTTGTTGTCGAACCAACGAACGAGAGAACAAACGGGAGAGGAGGCTCCACCCATTAGAAGCGTCAGCTGCCGGAGAGGCGGAGCGGATCGTTGGTGGGCGGACCCGGGACCCGCTTTCGGAGGTAGTGTGGCGAAGCGGTCGTTTGAAATCACAAGCGCAGTACCTTTCCGAAGTTCGCTTATTTGATAAACGGAGGCGCCCAGTGTTTTAGGTAGCACACAAGCCGAACAGTCACCCTGTCAGTCATTCAGCTGCTCATTGGGTCGATCGATGGGCGCCCGCACGATTGACCGCACTTTCAGTTTCCACTATCTGTCTCTGTCGAGTTTAATTCTCACTCGGACTGGACTCGAATGATTCCCCCTTTCCCCAGATCGATAGATTCCAGATTCTCCTATCGCACCAGCGGACTGGCCCCAGATCTCGCTGACTTTTCGGAAATGCATCGTCCACGAGGGAGATGGACGGGTGAACGGATGAACGGCGAATAGTTGAGTTGACGGTCAGTTCGTCCGACTGCTCCAAGACAGTCTCCTAAATGAAAGCACGTTACGATAAGAGATGCGTTCAGCAGAGACAGATGGCTCTCGCAGATTACAGTGTGAGCACCAGTTTACCGACTGAAGTCCAGCGCCTGACGGACTGACCGAGCGAAAGTCGCCATTCACAGTGCTGACTTGACTTGGACAGCACACAATCCTCGAGATTCCATTTGGGTTCTGTCCGCGGCTCTCCGGGGGGAGGAAGATCTCCCCTGAGCGTTGCTTATTATCATCCGAGTCGGCGTGACGTGACGATTGACCACCGATCTGGCGATCAACCGTCGTTTAGAGGGAGAAACCCCAGAAGGTCCGCGGAGGTGTGGACAATCCCAATTCCGCTCGCGTATCCATGCGTGCTCGGTGTGCGGCTGTGCAGATGAGCCCCATACACTGATTAATTAATCCCGAATCCCGAGGTAGGTAATGGAGTGAATGGAGTTCCCTAAGATTATTTCAGCGTCTTCAGCTGCGAGAGTTGCGCTGATTATTTTTCCTCAGCAGCCACTGTTCTCAGCTCTAGAGGTAAAAGGGTCACTTGAGGGTCCGATCAATCGCTCTGGTCGTGAGTCGTCCCATCTGCATGCGAGGCTCACGAACGAAACTCTTTTTCTGGGCCATCATAAATACAGGCGTTGAATAAATTGGCTCCCTACTGAAACACCTGAAACAAGCCGACGAAATTATCAGCTGCGCGATGGATGCGAACGAGCCACATTCGAGTCTGAGGAAGAGGCTTCTGAGACGACACCGAGCTCCCTCGAGAGCGAAACGACCATCAACAAGTATGGCCCGCCCGGCCGTTCATCGATGAAATGAGTGGCTGAGAGAGTGATAGATCGTGATTCGTGATTGATCAAGTGAAAAGCTCGGGCAGGCGATCCGTTCTCACGGTTCTTAAGTGTTGAACTGTCGACGTTTTTCGCGAGTCCTTTCCGCAATCTCCGTGAATTTCCATTCGCTCGTAGGCTACGAGTCGTAGCCGCTTGGATCCGACCGCCCAATCGGCTCTCTCGCTGGCCCATCCATACTCAAGTCTTTCTGTTGCCGAGTTACCTCTCGTTCAAGTACCTAGGTAGTTCTACGTTCTACCTTAGTTTTAAGATTCCATAGACTGCCGAACCGCATAGCTAACTCACTGGCCACCTAAGTACCTAGGTATGCGGGCAGTTCATGTCGGCGGAACTCTGTATGTACATGCGGGGCGATGATGCTGACGTCAGCAGAGAGCAGAGATATGTACTTGAGAGATAAGTCGCCAGTCGCCACTATACCGATGCATATGTTTGCGGAGCTCTCGGCGTTTTCCAGGGACGCAGGCACGATATGAGAGCTCAGTCTCACTTCCATTCGTAGGTCGTAGGTCGTAGTCCACCTTGCTGTCAAGCACCCCGGATGGAATGAGCCAGACTCGGAAGCAGTCTGGGCATGAGGTATATCTGTCTGCCGTCGTCTCTCCACCGTTCACCATCTTCGAAGAATTAGGTGAATTCAAAACATGAGCGTGAATAAATTCGAATCCCGAGTGACACGAATTTTGAGTTCTTCGAGGCGAACATGATACATGACCACCTGAGTGGAGAGCCCCGTGTGGTGCGCAATGCGCGCCACGTCTCGGACTCAGAAGCAGTCGAACGGCGAACTGTTGCTACTAGTAGTTTGGTATTGGTTATTCCGATCGCTCTTTGATTCCCACTCCCCTGATTCTCGTTACTCGTCATTTCTCTTCAGCCTGGAGCGGCCGCAGCAATGGCGGCCGCTCCGAGTCTGTTGGGTGTCGTCGTGCACTTCACCAGCTCCGCCGCTGCCATCAACGACGGTACTGTCGACGACGACAACGTCAGAGCCACCGCTGCCAGCAAAGCTGCGAGTTGTGATCTGAGCCACCAGAGCGCGCTCTTGAGGGCTCTCACCTGATTGGCCCCGCCCATCGAAGATCGGAGAGGCGGGACTTCACACCTCTTTCTACCTAGAGAGTGTCGGTTGTGGTGGTGGTGCTGCTGCTGCTGCTATTGTTGTTGTTGTTGTTGTTCATACTGCTGACGACAAGCTGATTTTGCTGCCTGTTAGTTATATGCTGTTAGCGTTCAGAGAAGGAGGTCTTTGCTGCTGCTGCCGCCGCTGCTGCTGCCGCCACTCGTGCGGCCGACGACATCGCACTCCGAACACCGTAGTCAGTCAAGCGGACAGGGACTTGAGTGACTTCGCGCGCTGAACAGCCAGAACCATCCGTTGTCCTCGTGTGCTCCTCCGGTCTCTCTCGGTGAAGAACTCCGGCGAAGAACAGCGTTTCGAACACTCGCCATCCAGCTGAGCTACCGGTCCTCCATTCGTCGTCAGACAGTGTGTGATCCCGCGCGCGCAAGTGCCTGTGTTGGTGTTCGAAGTAGGAACGGACATTCGACGCTACCTTTCATAACGCTGTCATCACCGGTACGGTCTCCGTTGCCACGAGCCGCTCTGGAGGACAATCAATTATAGTTGTAGTTTCTGGAAACCTCCGCGAGCGTTCATCTTCATGCTAGCTCGGACGAGACTCTCAAGATGATCCTCTCCGAAAACTTCGCCTTAGAACTGAACATGAGCCGTCAGACAAGCTCCCCAAAGGCTACCGATTTCAGTATCGCTGCCATTATGGCTCGGTCTGCATCTCCTTCAACCACCAGTAAGTTTGATGTTCGATCACTTAGCTCACTCGATTCCGTTCAGAGCCATAGAAAAATCAGTGCTGCCTATATTGAAGTTCCTGGAATGGACGCTGCCCGGCGTAATCTTTCGAGCCGGATGATGCTGAGCAGCGAGTGCATTCATAAACTCGGAGAGCAATTCGCAATTTCGCAACATCCCCTAATTCGCTTCATGGTGTCACCACGTCACCACTCACCACCGAGACATTGTCAATTGTCAGAGTTAGAGGTTAGAAGTCCTCGTCTACGATTGGGTCCAATCTTCCCTCGAAACTGCATTTTCTCCTGGTCGAAGTTGAGAGAGTCGTGAAGAGCGCGAGGGAATCTATGAAGACATCCGGCGTTAAGAAGACCTGATTGTCTCGTCACTCACACGCTCGTTCCCGGCTGTAGTAGCTTTTACCGCCATCGCTCAGAGTAGAGAACAAGTCAAAGATTCGCGACGGCCCACTGACTAGTCTGATGACTGAAATGACGAGAAGTGGGCGGGAGATAGAGTTCGCTTCCTTCGCTGTCAGCTCGCGTTTCCACAGTGTTTCCTGAATTGTGGCTTCTCCCTCTTCTCGCCTCGCTTGCACGGATTCTCCCCTCCCTCATTGAGTGTGTGCCTTTGGGCTTGTCTCTTCGCCTGTGGAAGTATTTCTTTTTTTTTGCGAGGAAAGACTCCAGACCAGGCTTTTTTCGCGTCCAATGAATCTGAGAAAACTCGCTGCGGACCCGGCGGTTTTTGTCCCTGGCCGTGGCGAGATCACTTCGAATCTCTCGCGGAGAAGAAAGAGTATATAAAAAAATATCTGTCTGGTCAGGTGTGAAGAGAGCTTACCGTTCACTTTGACCGTGGGCGTTCTGAAAGAGATTCCCGAGGGCAGTCTCCAATCCATCTCTCGTGTACACAGCTCCATGCTGCACGCGCTGAATTTTTGAAATATTGTTCTGCGGAACTTATCTGTCGGAGACGTTTCTCAAGAGTGGCTCATGGTTCATGGTCCATCAGAGCAGCTGTTCGGGAAAATGAGCGGAAGAAAAAAGTCGGATGGCGAACTCCAGGTTCCCCGTCCTGGGTGGTCCAGTCCAGCTCTCAACACTCAACTCTATGATCTAAATGTGGTGCTTCTGCTGTTTCTGACGGCCAGAGTGGAATAGTGGGGGACGAAACCACAATCGGGTTTCGGCATCTCGACCTTTGTTTAGACCGTCGCTCGCCCGACTCTAATCATGATCGTGGCGCTGGTGATCATCCGCATGATCTCTCGGCACAATACAATAGGAACGTTCTTCCACCGTGGGCGATTGCGTGCCGGAATAAATGGAAGATCCTACTCTGACTGATTCCCTTTCGCCGTCTTTCCAGTAAGCCCATCTCCGAGTTCGTCACCACAACCTTCGTCATTACCCTCGTCCGCATCACCAACACCATGCGCTCCGCCGCGATCGAAGAAAATGAAAAAGTCATCCTCTGATGAGGAAAAAGCCTCGGGTCCTAATCCATACGCTCCTCTGCTACGAGGTGCGTGCAATTCAGCCGCACTCGAAAAGGTCGAGTGTCATCTCGAGAACAGGGATCTCTGGGAGAGGTTCAACGAGCTTGGAACCGAAATGATTATCACCAAAACTGGAAGGTGAGTTTTCGTGAAACTGATAAGTCGCATTATATTCCGAAGGATCGCGCTCGATTCCCCGCCGCGTTCGACGCCTCGCTTGTCACGCGAGACAAAACGTTGCTGCGCGAGCTGCGGCGATCCGTGCGCGTGTGTGGGTAATTTTTTGAGAGTGAAATCCCCGCGAACGGTAGACTCGATCGCAAGCTGTTTGAAGCGATGTTCTGCATTGATGGGGAGTTCGCTTTATGGTCCTCATCGTCCCCGTTGTCGGAGCCTGATTGCCGGCATTGTGGTCGCGACATCAAGGCGAACGAGAGGAGTTTGAGGGGCGTGAGTCCCTGGGGAGAATGGCGAGAAAACTCGACTTAAATCGACTCACTCAACTTGGTGACAGGAGCCGTCATGATTGACTTTTGATCCGTTCGGAGCGACAGGCAACAAACTAGCGAGCCTACATTTGATTTTCTACATCCACGCCCCTTTGTTTTTTAACTGACGGAGTGACTCGAACTCTCTCGCAGCAGCACATCACGGCCTGTCGCAGACTTGAAACAAGGCAAGCTTACCCTTGGTCCGCTATGGATCGACTTTGAAATTGTCGATAGGACAGCAGCGTATCGCGATTTCGCTCCGAACAAGGCGTTCGAGAAGCTTTGCTGGCGTGCTGGTGTCACATGCAGAGCGCCCAGCCGACATCCGCCTCCTAGTGCGTGAGCCTGTGTGGCATTGAGCTGTCCATAGACATCTGTTCATGTGTCCGCTCTCAGAGGTTGTAGGAGCGCGTGTCCGGCGTGACTCTTTGAGAAGGGAATTTCCCCGTTCCACGTTGAGATCCCGAGCCTTTGCGATATCGTCCAACTGACCTTCCAACACTTTCGCTCCGCCAAATTATTGAGACCTACCTGTATCAGGTCTATGAGAAGACGAGCTGGGAGGTGAATGATCCCCGACACGACCAAGGCTTGCGGTACACTCCGCTCACTGCTCAGCCCTCCATTCCCGACTCTCGAAACGAAGGGAGCAGTAACGTTGAGTGAATTAACATGCAAGAGAGATAGCGGCGAGCAAGCCAAAAACACATTCAGACACCGGCTCAGTCAGTCACTGACAGTCTGCTTGTCTACTCGACCGAGTATAGGGTTCAGTAGCCAGTCGGTGGGCTCAGATGAAAACGGACTTTGAAATCAAGACTCAGTCGTGAGGTTGTCTGGTTCTTTTCAATCTTATCTTTAGGTTGTGTAGTCGTGCGAGGATTTTAGTTGCAGCAGCACCGCCTTCACAGCCACCAGCATCGCCAGCAGCAGCAGCAGACTAGCGGTTTTTGAGAGGACAGACCATGACATTCCTCTGTCTGCCTGGGCGCTCTGACTTTTTGAGAGCTCTCGTTTGCTTCCGTTTGCCAGCGAGTGTCTCTGTGCAGGAAGACAAGAGGAACCCAACCCTCTTCGGCGTTCTGGTTTTACGCGCGTGCTCCACAGCGCTCCCAAAATACCGTCTATACATCCGAGTATTTCGTTTTTCCCGGTCGGGATGTGCGCTGTCGGCCGGTTTTTCACAGACAGAGTGAAAGGCAGATGATAGGACTCAATGAAATTCCGAACCAAATCGAAATAGCTTGAATCTAATTTTATGAAGATCTGCCTCAATAAATTCGAGCTGACGGTCCGATATCTCCGCGTCGATGGTGGCGGCTGATGCTTTTGAACGGATGCCGACGAACGCGCACACGTTCCTGGAGTTACAAACAGCGGAGAAAGAAGAGAAGTTGAAGAAAAGCAAATATGGGGCCGATACGTCTCACGGAAATCTCGTATTGAATCCAAACTTATTAGCGGATGCTTTTAATAAATTCCCATACATGGGTTCGAGGAGCGTCGGAACGCAGCCCGCCAATATATTTTCCTTCTTCTCGATCTTGGAGCTTATGCCTCGGTTTCGGAAGCGGGGCAGCGGAATCCACCAGACGGGACATTATTCGCCGCGTTTCGATTCTGCTCGGCCGATTGGACACGAGACTACCCAGTCGTCTGTTTCTAGTATGATACGGGAGAGAAAGTCTGATCGTGATCCTTATGTTGCTCAAGAAGTTGAAGATGCTCCGGTGCAATTAGGGCTAGAATGGTATTATAGGGGGTCATTTAGAGGACACCAGGTGTGAGGTAGAAAAAGACTAAGTGATGCCTAATGGCTAATTCGAGGGGTTGGACCTTTTCTCAGTTGTTCGCTTCGGCTTCAGTCTGTTCGGCGTTCGAGACTTCTGAAGCCGACCGGCTTCACACCTTTGAACAGACGTTTTATCCGACTTGGGAAAGGTACTCCAACTAAAACTCAATCTACGATGACGACCGGCCCCTGCTCGCTATTGAACGCGACGTTTTCGTACAATGATCAGACTACGGCACGATCCAACGAATACGGCACTACAACGACACCTGCCTGGGTATCTATGCGATCGCTTCGAGACTCGCGTTTCCCGGGGAAATGTCCCGAAATCCGGGCGCGACTGTCATGAGAACGTCCCCAGGACCGCGGTACCTTTCTTGAAACATTCCTCGCGTCTTCTGTAGAATTGGCCTTCTGTTCGAGTGGCGGATCGTCGTCGGCAGGAGGCTTTCAAGTCGGCACTCAGTGACTGACTGGGGGAAATTTAGCCAAAACAATAATCGGGGCGGAACTACATCGTCTTCGAATCAGTCCGTACGTCCGTCAGTCAGTGCTCGTCCATGCGTCCGTAAGTCCGTCGTTCCCCCGCCCGTCAGTCAGTCAGTCAGTCAGTCCGTCCGTCAGTGATCACAGTTTGAATCATTGACTTGCCGCGGCACTCTGTGCGGCGACCAACGTCCAGCGTTCCGTAGAAGCTCGTGAACGGCTATGCAGCGCGAGTCGGTTGTCGCCGAGTCATTTCTCTCGTTGATTCCCCGCGTGGCCGGGCCCATGTCATTAGGCGAGAAATTGATTTGACTTCCTTCAGAAGTCCGCCGAGTTTCGACACTAGCTCCAAAGGAGGGCTCGGAAGCGTTGCTTGGAAGCTCGGATTTGAGCTTCCACGCCCTGGAATCGATTCATTGTTTTGAAAAGTCAGAAAACGATCGCCGACGCCGTCGTCATCATCACCGTCCAGGCGGTGTTCACCTGCTCGGCCGAGTCAGCGTTCGTCAAAGCGGATAGACATCATCAAAATTTCTCGGTCCGATCCGCAATCGGAGACAAAGGTTCACTCGTTGAATTTCATTCGTTCGGCGGTGAACTTCACAACGGGCGATCTACTCTCCGGAAATTTCCTTTTGATGAAATTCGAAGAAAAATCACGTCGTTGAACATCCGACGATACAGTTCTCTCTACGCGATTGCGTTCAGTCCCGAATCGGCGAAGCATTTAAATTCGAAACAGCGGAGAGAATCGATGTTATTGTGGACTTTTCCGCTCTCGTTACTCTCCTGTTATGTTGTCGCGAATCGGACAGAAGTCTGAGAGCGAGCCTCCATGAAAGCACAAAGGAGCACCTAATCGGTGGGTTTGAGCTGCTGACGAACCGACTCTGGGAGTGAGGAGCTCCTCCTATCCACACTCCGAGTCTGCGAGGCTGCTCGTTTGGCTAGCACGTTCGCTCGGAAGCTCGGTGGATTGGGTGGTTGCCGCGATGGATGGATCGCTGTCGCTCATTTCATGCTGGCCGTGAATGAATGAATGAACAGCTAACGAGATCCGCTGCTCTTACCTATCCGATTCCAATTCAGCCGGTCGTCGGTGTGTTCTCTCGCTCGTTCGCATTGTCGCTAACAGTTCGCTGATCCAAAGATTCTCATTCGGCTCGCTGATCCTCTCGAGTGCCCGCGAACCCCTACAACAAGACAGCCACCGGTGTTTGTTCATCTCGACACTCGCTCACTGATTGATTCATGGGCGCTGTTGTGATTATTGATATTGTGGACGATTCGCTGGAACGGCTCAAATGGATGATCTCGTCGAAAGACAATGTTGCCTCCGGTCAGCAACCGGCACCGCGGCACTCGGGTCTCGAGAATTGGTGGCAAGCCATTTGACATTCCCGACCAAACTCCTGCGGAGATGTTCACAACCGCCCGCTGTCTGTGGTTTGTTCGAGCACCAGCAGCACGGCGTTGTTTTTTCTCCGCCTGTTTAGCTGTTTTGCTTGTTGTTCCGCTGGTTGAACAGACATCTTGCTACTTGCTTTACAAAAATCCGTGTAACCAACTACTACGAACGTAACGCATTTACCCTCTGCGTAGTTGAACGCCCACTCTCGTCCGTTCGACCGATTCGGCTTCAGGCGAAATGTTTTTCCTCTCCGCGTAGATTTTCTCCCAGCATAATAGTTAGCGGTGTTGTTGGAAGCCACCAACAACTTGTCAAATTCTTGTTGTTACTCGCGTTGTCGGACTCACTCAGTTCCGAGAACTGGTTTCGGCAAAGTCGAGGGCAGGGGGACGACGAGAGGTGAAAGAAGCAGAGACGAGTCTCAGCGAGTGCCAGCCAACTCGAGTGACTGGGGCAATTCCAGCCTTCAAATGCTTGCTTCAACTTGAAGACGACTGACGTCTTGAGAGCAGTTAGGTCCGATGGCTCTCTGCTCCACCGACTGTGGGTTCGTTTGGCCTAGGCCCCTCGTCGCCGTCGGTCGGTCAGACGCACGTCAGCCTAATCGCGCGAAAGAAACAGCACTAGTGGCCCAATTCACATGACAGCAGACAACACGAGACAAAAGCGGTCGACTGGCATCGATCGAAATCTGGTTTACGTCAAACAAACAAGCGAGCGAGCGATCAAATAAACGACAACAAATCGAATAGTGCTTGTTAGACAATTTTGAAGGACTCCCTGCCCGAATTCTCTGCGGATCCTGCATCGGAGGCGATCGGGGCGATCAAATAGAGTCCCTCAGAGCACGGTCGGGTCCTCGCGTGGCAGCGAGAATTCCCGGACAGTATTCCTCGGTCGTCCGTTCGCGTTCGATCGGAATCGACCTCGATCGGCTCCTCTGTTTTCCCTCTGCTCGATTCTCAATTAGAACGCGATCCTCCTTCGATAGAGCTTATCGGTGTTGGGTTAGTGGAACTCGGGTCGACACGAGCCACTATTTGCTACTGCGAACAAATTGATGAACAAGTGTTTCACCTTGTCTTTTCAGGAGGATGTTCCCCACTGTGCGCGTATCCTTCAGTCAGCTGCCCGTGTCTTCGGAATACCGCTACCATGTTCTGCTGGACATTGTTCCGTGCGACAACAAGAGGTATCGTTATGCATACCACCGATCATGCTGGCTGGTCGCTGGCAAGGCAGACCCGCCGTCACCGAATCGCTTGTACCAGCATCCCGATTCGCCGTACGCCAACGACCAGTTGAGGAAGCAGGTGGTCTCCTTCGAAAAGGTCAAGCTCACCAACAACGAGATGGACAAGCAAGGACATGTGAGTAGGGATTCCGTTCGGGCGGACTCTGCGAAGTTCTTTAGCGAGCCTCGGAGACTTCACTAGCATGGCATGGGGGAGTCGGGGGTGGGGGGAAACGAGCACGAGAGGATCGCTCGATCTCGTGCGCGGACTGCGTCAAAGTGTGAGATCGGTTAAGCCTCTGTCATTCCGATTGGTTCGTTCGCTCGTTGTATCCTCCGCTCGTCTTGGCGGGTGGCTCGAAGGCGTTGAAACGAAAGCTCGTCTACTTGAGATACGATGAGTATGGTGTCCCATCTTTTAGTCCCATGGTGTCGTTTCCGAGAACGTCGAGCCGCTAGCCGACCGGCAGTGGCGGCAGCGAGCAGGCTTTTTCGCCAACGACAAGCTATTCCACACAAGCAAGTGACGGACCACCCGGTGATACTCTTTCTTTTTTTTTTTGCTATGGCGCTAGCGATGATGTACACGATTTTTGCCTTCGTCTTTGGCCAGCGGTCTTGCGGGCGGAGGTGGCCGACTGACTGGCTGGCTGGTCGGTGAGCTGTCATAAACAAATATTACGCTGACGACCTCAAGGCGACGTCGAACTATGCGAGGAATTCGCTTGTTCTCCACCACTGCTCCTTCCAAGAACAAAACCCCCGTCACCTCAAGTATTCGACGCTAGACTCAAGTACGCTGCTGCCGGCAAATCTGTCGTTCGCTCGCACGCTCGATCAATCGCTAGATTCGTCAGCCAATCAATCGCTCGGTATCGCTTCTGACCTTGGCTGGAGCACGCTGCTCAAATTCACTGACTGACTGACTGAGTACGTATCAGGAGGATCTGACGAATGATGGTCTTTCGCATGTTTTCTGGATGACGCTCATCGCTGTGGGTCGCTGTCAAGGAGATACCCATCTTTGCCGTAACTCCTTTCCGCGGTGGTAGGTATCGGAGAGCGAGAAGAGAGTGATTCCAGTTTCTCCCAACGGCTACAAATCTCACATCAGTTGTTGCATCGGCCAATAGCGACGACGGCTGTCTCAGTCAGACTGAGCCACCCAGAGCGTTCTTTTCTCATGTTCTAGTCAGTCAGCCAGTCAGTCAGTCAGTCCGTGACACTGCCGAGTAGACTGGAGGAAACCTTATTTACAATGCTTTCTTTGATGGGGAGCTCGCCGAGCGGAGAAGCGACCGACGCCGATTCACTTGCCGATCCGCTACTGTCTCGATTCGGTCGAGTCTCAGGGAAGCCGCCGACGACGACAATCGACCGCTTCCAGTTTCCATTGACGCTTCGTTGGCGCCGGAAGCCGATCGTCATTCGATCGCAACCAGCAACCGCGATAATGACAATTCACAATCAGCGGTATCCACCGCAAACAACACCATCATCAGTGGCTGGCTCCAGTAATTGGCAATGTCTGTGAAATATGAAACTGTTGTCGCTCATTTCTTATTCATTAATGCGACTCCTGGCGCCATTGATGCTGCTGCTGCATTCACACCTGCCCGAACGAGTGTCGTTGTTCCAGCCTCGGTGTCAGCATGGGGTATCTTCAATTACGCGTTTTTTTTACTGACCGGAACACAATCAACATCCGACTAAACGTCGATCTCTTCAACAGATTGTGTTGAACTCTATGCACAAATATCAGCCTCGCATTCACCTCATCCGAAGACGGGCGTCTGCGGCCAACAGTCCAATCGGAAGCGTGGAAGACGAAGAGTGCAAGACTTTCGTGTTCTCCGAGACGACTTTCACGGCCGTGACTGCGTACCAGAATCAACTGATCACCAAACTAAAAATTGACTCGAATCCTTTTGCGAAAGGTTTTCGTGACTCTTCTCGACTTAGTGATCTTGAACGGTAGGTCGACTCCCTATCTAACCTCGCGGGACACCCTTCGAGAGTTTTCGCGCAGACCCTCCCGGAAATCTTGTCGCAGACCCTCCCGGAAACCTTTACGGAGACCCTTCCGGAAACCTCCACGGGAGTCTCAAGGGGAGGGCAAGGGTAGCGGGTTTCCGCGAGACGTTATGAGGCGACCCATGAGCGCCGAAACTAAAGTCGTTCATTCATCTTGTTGCAGCGAGACGATGGAGAGCATCCTCGGTGACAATCCATTTAGCCGCCTCATGGCCGATCCCAGTTTGATGCCGCCTTCGATGGCGCCCTCAACTCCTCAGCACGAGCCGACCCTGAACGGCAGCGGCGGAGGTGTCCTGAGCGGCCTCGGAGGAGTAAGCGGCGGTGGCGGCGCCGCTGCTGCTGCCGCCGCTGCGGCTGCAGATCCCGCTGCCTATTTCCAGCATATGGCTGCGGCATACGCCCAACACTTGGCGCTGTTCGCTCAGCATTCACCTCTAAGTGCACCCACCGCGTCACAAGCGGAAGCGATTCAACAGCAGCAGATCTACGCCTTGCGGATGGCAGCCTTGAGCCAAGCCGCCCTCGTGCAGGCGGCTCAGCAACACATGCGACAGAGCCCACCCGCGTCCGCACGTTTCAGTCCGTACCCTGTTATGAGGTCGTCGATCGCTCCTTCACTGCCCCCCACGCCCGGTCGCTCGAGTCCTCAGATCGATGTGTGTTCGCCGTCCCCAGCTAGCTCCCCTGTTCCGGCTCGTTCTCCTTGAAGCGAACGCACGCGATTTTCTACAGATTTAGTTGAATAAATAATAATTGAATATGGGTGATTGGAACGTCGACGTTTAGTCGCCTCGGCGAGCGGGAGAGATAATCGATAGTCGGATGCGTGATTGATTGAAAGGACGATTTTGCGATCTCTCATCATATGAGTGGAATCCTGAAGAGATTCCCCGCGAACAGCGACCGCGGCAGTATTTCTCATCCACAATAGAATCCCATCCTTGCGCAATAAATCAGAGGTACTTATATATCGGAGCGAGTGCAGCGAATCGCTTTCCCTGAACCGGATCCCTTGTTAAATGTATCATAAGAAGTACATAGTTACGTTTGCTTTATTACATCGAGCGGTCCTGTCAACGAGTCAAGGAGTCAGCAGCCCGCAGGGAGGTCGAATCAGAGGTCTAGGAGCTTACAGAGAACGGATGGGCAGTAGGCAGTAACGTTCGTCGATTCGGGAGCGAGCGAAAAATGTCCCCGTGGATTGACTCGTTGACGGATCGATCAACGAATCCCAGATGCAATTTGTACATACCGAACCTGAAACAGTAAAATAAAAGTATCAATCACGATCGTGGAACCATCGTCTATGATCAATACCGTCAGGTGTCAAGTTCCCACCGGTCGATCAAGGCAGCTTTCCGAGCGGTCACGAGACTTCCGGCCTCCAATCACTGCTCTCTAGATATCGGTGATTTTGTCCCATGGTCGCCCGCTAAGATGATGATTCCGCGCCCCACTCAAGACGTCACTCTGCCGAAGAGCGTCGTGCAACGGCAATGAGCAATAACAAATTTTTTGATGAATCGTTCCTCGTCAATGAATCGTCCACATGGCGGCTGTCGTCCTGTATCCTTCTCCGTTCGATTGGCACCGAAAATAAGAGTGAAATGGAGAGCCCGACGCTCGCAATGGCAGATGGTCCTTTGGTTGGTCGGCTGGCTGGTTGGGTTGGGATGGACGGCTGGCTGCTTGTTCCAATGGTTCCCGGCTGGTCGAGGTCGCCGTAGTAGAAATCGAATTCCGCCGCCGTACGTGGTCGTTTTCGTCGAGTGTCGATCCAACTTTTGTTTTTCTCTGTCAACCCTCGAATGAAAATCCGATTGGAAATGCGATTCATCATCGGAGCGTATATCCGTTGGCGTACTCGGCGTCGAAGTACACGTCATTAGACATAGTAACAGCAGAAACGGAAATGCCTTTCAGCACTGCTGTGAATACGTCGTTTTCGTGCCTTCAGCTATCCAGCTCATCTAGATGCCTGAAAGCCTCTGAAAACCACGAGCTTCAAATCGGTTATCAACTATTCCAAAGGCTCGACTGGCGCGAGGACGGTCTCTTGCACGGACGCAGTTTTCGGCCGGGGAAAACCTGTCCAGATTTCACCGAGCGATTTCTCTGGATTCCCCGGCGACGTAGCGACGTTGAGTCATTCGCAGAGCCGGAACGACGAAAGTATCCGATGCATCGAAGAGGTAAATGCATGGAAGTGCTTTGCGAATATCTACCGCGGCTCTTGCTATAGTCGAGCTATTGTTTGTTCGCTATGCTCGGGGATGACATTTGACCATTTGCCAAATCCATTGTGTGTCGGTGAGAGTGTACTCGTGGAACACTCGTTGCTCCGATAATGGGATCGATACCACCACGGCCACAAACACTGCCAACACCAACCTTAGCGATTCGACGCTAAGGCTCTTGCCGCGGTGACCATCACGTGGAAACACGCGCATAAACAAACACATACATAGAAACACACGAAGGCACACACGCTAGTTCAGCTCACACCCCCTGGTGCGCGCTACGCCATCACGGACACAAAGGATCTGTGGAAGTCAATGGTATACCAAAGTTTGTCAGATCATCCGCCCGCCCGCCAGCCCGCCCGTTCGGCTGTTTGCTCTCATTCATGAATGAATGGAAGCGTAACCCCTTACGTTTTTATCGGGAATGTCTTCGTAGGATGTCAAATAACACCATCGTGAAAGCATCCATAAAGGATCAATTTCGTCCAGGAAAAGTCGCAAGAAAGGAGTCTGACGGAGCCTCCGAGGGAATATCGGCGAACAATGCTCGCAACTCGGGGACCCGGGACCCATCGAAAATTTCAGGGATTGAACGTCGGCTTTCCTGAAGAGTCATTCCATGCAATCATGGTTTGAGGAGACGATAAGGTGCCAGATAACGAACAATGTCGGCTCTGGCTCTGCCCTCGATAAGCATTCTCTCAAGTCATTCCGGGTTCTCGACGAAGAAAACTATTAACTCGGACAGATCTGTGGACAGAAAATAAAATTTTCACAGGAACGTCTTCTTGATATCTTCCACGCTCGCCGAAATTCCTCGTGCCTGTTCGTGTCCCTGTTGTGGCTACCGACAGTGAGTGTGGTCGGAAGACTGTCGGACTAAATAACGGAGAGGCGAAGAGTCAGTCAAATAGATAACAATCCACTTAAGCTAATGAGATGATGGAGTTGCCTTTGCTGCAGTTACTCGGGTCGTTTGTCTCTGGGTTCGACCGCGCAAACCTTACAAGGAGGAGAGCCGGCGCCTACCGAGTTCGATTCCGGAGGAACGCGTTCTGGGCTTTCCCGAGCGGATGAGGTCAGACGAGCGCAACAGCGCACTCTATGCTGGGGGAAATCACCCTCTACAAGCACGATTATCCGCAGATTCATCAGATAAGTCGGTTTCCATTGCTTCTCCCAGTGATCGCACGTCATCTATGGCATCTGCAGTATCGATGAAGCTTCGATGCCGTGGGATGAGATCTTTCCTCCTACCAGTAGTGAGTCCCACAATCTACTCCGGACTCCGAATGATGATTCTGGGGATTCGTCGAGGGGGGCTTCCGGAAGTTACGAGTTTTTCCAGGCGGGCTGTCGTTACGTTGGAACGCGCAATCGATCCGTGGATCGCTTCGAACGTTTGAACATAGCAGAAGACTCGTGAGTTACCCGGCCAGAAGCAATCAGCCCGGGCAACGGCGCTCTACAATGAGTGCGTCTGGTGAGCAACAAAGCCCTGTTGACTCAGGCGCCAGACTCTGATGTTTTCTGCCGAAAGGGCTCTGAGGTGTTATTGTGTGCACAGTGAACTCCGTCTGAGTATTTGGAGTGCACACAATCCTCCGGTGACATAATTCAGCGAATCGTCTCGAGCCGAGTCGGTGGTTTGTGGCACGCGATCTCGGAGGAAATCCATCTGAGTCCCATCTCAATTATTCCTGAGACCGAATCCTCCGAAATAAGGCCGGGGCACAGCTTCCACCAGAGTTTTCCCCCCGCCTCCTCGCAATTTCGGTCGCCGGGGTTACTGTTTCGACGTCCGAAGTCGAAGGGACCGTCAAACCTTATCGTGACAGCGATTATACTAGCAAAATTAACAGGAAGATCGCTGCTTGAAAGGTCACGCTACACGTACGGACCGATGCCGTCCTCTAGTAGCCGTCAACCAGCTGAGTGGAGCCGGGAATCGTTTATACCTGCAGAGATAAAATATTCACTTGCTGACTTTGAGACATTAATCTGTTTGGAGAGGAGCTAATTTCTCCACTTATCAGCCCAGCTCCATCATCCATCCGTCGGGACAGTCGAGCGCGGCTTCGGCTACTGATATTACGTGTTCCGCGGACAGCGTATGCGCGGATGGCTCTTCACGTTGTCAACGTCGCACTTCAAGCCGACAACGACGGCCCGGGCGGAATCGCTGAAGTCATTCGGCTTCCTTTCACAAGGCTCGTAAGTGAGCGGACTTCAGCTCGTCCGGAGGAGAGTAATTTGCCTCTTCGTCAAGTAGTCGTGGTCGTCGACGTCGTATCCGTCATTGCACACCTGAACTCGGTCGTCGAAGTCTACGTCATCGAAATAATCCAAGTCCTCAAGTCGAAAAATCCAAGGAATGGAAACATCGGTGACAGTTGCTGAGGTTCAAGGTGTGAAGGGCGGACTTGATGAACATCATTGACGGTTGCTACTTCGACGATGAAAGCAGTAAGTGAGCAGCAGTGAACATCGACTCAGTCAGCTCGGTCAAACTCCGCTCGCGCTGTCCGAGAGAGCTCCGGTCTGTAATTATAGAGCGAGATGATGCCGCCAGTCAACCGAGCGACCGGGAAGACGGCGAGCAGTACGCTCCTCACCGGCTAGTGAAGACATGTGTAACGCGGCACCGACCCAAGCAGTGGCGACCCATGCTATCATGAGAAATCGGAGGCAGAACACGCAGGCCCACATGCGGAGCCAGGACGTGGCGACGCTCGATACACTGCTGCAAAATAAATATTAATCGAGCCGACAGCAACGCCAGGAGTCGCATGGCTGATTTTTTCTATCCGCGCCGAAAATCGGAGTCGACGATGGAGGTTCCCGGAATAAACCGCTCGGAAAAGGTCCGATGAGTTCCCTCATGAAACGACGGCCTTTGGCTAATGACGATTTGGCTTATTGACGCACTGAACGTAGTATTGAATGCCTTCATGATCCATTCAGTGCCGGAACAAGAAGCCCGAGGAGGAAACCTTTCGGAGTATCGGGAATTACGCAATGGAAATGCTGGACTCGGAATTCAGGAAGAGTCTCGCGGCTCGAACTCCGACACCGAGCTCTGGTAGTTGCAACCGAGACCTCAATGGCAAACAGAGCGGCGGCGGCAACAACGGAGCTGTGGTGGACTCGGCTGTGGTAGTGGTGGCGGCGCTTCTTCTTCTAGTGAAGGTGTGAACGTGGGGCGGACTTCGCATTCCTCGGGATCATCGGCGCTCCCTGATCGTAATTACAGGGCAACTGAAATCGGCCTTTTAGTGAGTGAATCGGGCTTCAAAGAGGGACGAGCCGACTTCGTGAGGTGGTGATGCCCCAACAATCACACACTCACAGCCACACCGGCTCTCACACATCACACTGGCTCTCGCTCATGAATTCTTCCACGGTCGGGGAGATCGATAGCCGGACACCTGAAGGATGTTCCCTCCGATGCATATTTTCTCCTG